GCCTTAGCCGCTTGAGCCACAGGCACTGAGCCAAGGCACAGTTTCTGCCTACAAGGACCTTCTAATTCAAAAGGAGAGGTAAGGCAGGTGAAAAGTAAAAATAAAATAGCTAAGCATGACACCGCATCAGTAACCAGTATTAGTGGTTGCTAACACTGTGTTCTGGGTGTCACTTTTTGTCTCCAGAGTGTTTGCACACGTTACCACATTTGATACTGTGACAATCCTGTGATTCAGACATCTATCATCCCCATTTCATAGATGCAGAATTAAGCATAGGAAGGTTGTAAGTTAATTCAGCATTGATGATATATACAATTTCAGGCAACAAGTGGTGAAAGATGATATTAGATAGAGGGGCCGGGACCAGGTCACAGTGCACCTGCAGTGCTGTGGGACCAGGTCACAGTGCACCTGCAGTGCTGTGGGGCCAGGTCACAGTGTACCTGCAGTGCTGTGCTGAAAGATCTTCAGGTTTTATTTAAGGTACACGGCGAGCCCTGGAAGGATAAGCCCTTGTCCATGTAAAGAATTTGGAAAATACACACAAAATTAAGTTTAAGCCACCAGAAATTGTACATGTGAGGAAAAATTTCACAACTTTCACATCACTGAGCTTAGCATTCTCTTGTAAACCCATCCAGGCTCATTTCTGCATGCAAGTTCTCCCCTGACCTTGGACCTGACAGGATCCCAGGGAATAATCACAAGTTAAGCCATTGTAGGCCAAAACCTTATAAATGCACTCTTACAAAGTAGGGCTTCATTTGGAGAAATCCATAAAAATGTCAAAGCTGCTCAAAAATAATGAAAACAGATATGAAATATCATAAAACATTAAGTAGATGTGTTTGAAAGACATGTGGAAACTCCATTGTCCTTTAATGTTCCTTTATGGGTACTTTTCCACATCTGAGGCATTGTAGAGTTTTCCTGGTAATTTTTCCTATTGAATTCACCCAATAAACATTTACTGAGCATCTTATTAGGTCCTCTGCTAGGTACTGGCTGTGCCTCCCTCACAACACTAGTATAGGAGTCAAACAAACTATAAGGGTTTTTGTATAGCCTGCAAGCTGAGGATGATTTTCGCAATTTTAAGTGGTTGGAAAGATCAAATGGATAGCATTTCATACACATTAAAAAGGTCCAGATTTTTCATCTGTTTTATTGGAACATAGCCACACTTGTGTAGGAATTGTCTATGGCTGCTTTCCCTACAACCACAGTGGAGGAGCTGTGAGAGACTCTATGGCCTGTAAGCTAAGATACTTGGCAGAAAGTTTGCCAACCCCAGGGAAAATGCATTCTGCACTTCCTGAAGGACTTCTAAACTACATTGAAATTTAAGAGTCATCTCAAAAAGTTTTATTGCCAACTAGATGAGGATAGGATGAATGCCCTGAAATGACTGGGAGAGGCCAATGTCCATGACAAATTCTTCCTTGTGGCCTTGCCTCTCCATTCTAACATCTTAATTATCATGCTACTGAGAATGGTTTGAACAGGTCCACCACATCTGCAAGAACTCATCTGGCTACTTTTCTGTGTTGACTACATCTGTTAGTCCCCCATAAATCAGAATTTGCAGGGGTGATATTTTGGGAAGGATGTGCAGAGGGGAGGTATTTTTCTCCTTATTTTAATAAAATAAAAATGGTCTTACACTGCATGTAGGGGAGAAGAAGTATCTTTAGGCTCATGGATGAGGCCCTGTAACAAACAGATTTAACAAGAGGAAAGCACACATACTCATTTAATGTAAGTTTAACATGTTTCTTTGAAAACAGGTAAACTTATGAATTTTTGTGCTTAGGTGTTGTGATAAGTGGACAGTATCAGAGAAGCATTATTAGACAAAGGGTATGATCTAATGGTAAAAACTGAGGGGAAACCAGCAAGGCCTATTTGTTCCGATTCTTCTCTGTGACTGTCTTCAGAGACACTGACGTTCCTTTCCTCCAAGGATAGGGAGGGAACCTCTCACAGGAGGGGCCTAGGACCTGCTCTGGTGAGAAGTGGAGAAGATCAGAGAGGAACCTTCCTGTTTCTGCTGTTTCCTTAAATGCCAAGGTGCTGTATTCTGGAATAGAATATCCTGAACCCCATCCTAGCAATACTATTTTTCACTGTGTACATTTAAGTTGTACATGGCTTTTTAATACACACGTGTGAAATAATTACTACAGTCAAGCAAATTATCCTATTAGTCACCTTCCATTGTTACCTTTGTGGGATTTTTGGGGGAGTAAGAATCCACGAAATGTAAGCACATTTTCAGTATTTAATACAATAGTGTAAAGTATAGTCCTCATGCTGTACATCAGATATCTACACATTTGCACCTTATACAACTGCAACTTTGGCCTAGTCCTCTGCTCATACTATTTTTTCCTTTTTTCTTTGCACAAACTATTTTTTTTTTTTTTTGAGACAGTCTTACTTTGTTACCCTCAGTAGAGTGCCATGATGTCAGAGCTCACAGCAACCTCAAACTCTTGGGCTCCACTGATTCTCTTCCCTCAGCCTCCTGAGAAGCTGGGACTATAGGTGCCTGCCACAATGGGCAGCCATTTTTACAGATGAGGCCTCGCTCTTGCTCAGGCCAATCTCAAACACGTTGAGTTCAGGCAATCTGCCCAACTCGGCTTCCTTGAGTGAAAGGATTATAGGTGTGAGCCACTGCGCCCGGCCCTACACATACTGGTTTTTAACCAAATTTATTTTTCAAAATTGTACTGTAGGCTCGGTGCCTGTAGCTCAGTGGCTAGGGTGCCAGCCAC